GCACCCCACGCCCAGGGGTCACCAGGCACTGGGCCAGCAAGGTTCCGTCCCCTCCGGGAGCAACGCCCAGAGAACATTCCAGAAGTGCAGGCAGTAGGCCATCAGGAAACCTGCGCAGGGGAGGGTGTGCCCAAAGGCCTGGGCAGCAGCTGGACGGTCCAGTGCGGGGGACGGTCAGAGGCGACAGGGGCTCTGAGAAGCTGGGCAGGACTGCTTTGGGCCCAGGGCCCCTGGGCAGGTGAGAGCAGGTAGGTGGAGAAGGACCTGCAGGGCTGTCTGCGGGGGCAGGGCCTGGGGCCTGGGGCCTGGGGCCCTCGCAGGCAGGCGGAGGCAGCAGGCCAGCCATCAGCCCGCCCGCGTCTGGAAAGGGGAGGGGCGGGGTGCCTATGACTGGATGGCACTGCTTGCCTGGTGACGCAGGGACAGGGGTGGGGACAATCTCCAGGGCACCGTGAGCTTTCTGCTCACAGGGAACCCAGCAATTTTCTTCCCACTCCATTTCCAAAAAAGTTACACTATTTAAAATGTCACTGGCTGCAGTCAGGTGCCCTTCCCGAGCACACTGCAGACCAGCCTGGGGCCGGCGGGCCTCCGAGGGGGCGGTGCCCACGGGCGCCAGCGCTGACCACCACCTGCTCGGACCAGCACTGGGCAACTCTAAGGACAGAGGGCCTGGGCTCGAACCCAGAGATGAATTCTGCCTAATTACACGCGCGCCGAAGCACCGAGAGAGAAGGGTACAGATGTTTGCAATTTGCTTTAAAATGCGTCAAAAACGTTGAAGAAGACGGACGGCTGGGAGCGGGAGGGTAGATTTGTCACGAAGCACCACAGGGGAGCACACGTGACAGGGTCGGGTCGGACGGTGGGCAGATGGGCGTTTGTGGGAAACTTTGGGCTTCGCTGTACTTTGAGAATGTTCATGAAGCACGGGGGGAAACCCAGGGGGCTCCCCGACCCCACCCAGGGCATGGCACTGTGCCCAAGTGCGGGGCCCAGCTGTGTGCTCCCTGCGGGGGGCGCCGTCCAGCCTGGGGCCCAGCGGCCTGACGGACAAGCGTCCGCCTGGCCGCGCCACATGCCTCTGGCCCTCTGGACTGCACGCCTCGGGAGCTACAGGGACACGTGGCCTTGACAGTCTCAAATGGGGACCACAACATAAATGGGGACCAGCACATGCGTCACGCGAGGGTGCTGGTGCTGTTCACGTGCCAGCGGTAGCAGTGACCCTGCTCGCTCGGCACATGCCTGCTGGGGAGGGGTGTCAGCTCTGCGTCCAGGCGAGCACACCGAGACCAGGGCCACAGCTGGGGAGGGACCGCCACCACCACAGCCACTGCCTGCCTGCCAAGAGGCCATCACGGTCTGTGGGGACAAGTAACACGGTGCCCTGCCTACTGGGGTTCCAAAGCCCTGTCCCTGGTTCTGGGAGGCCCAGGCCAGTGAAGGCTGCAGGAGGAGGGGAGGGTGTGGGGGTGCCGGCAGTCCCCTCCAGGCCACTGGCCCAGAGCCACCACCTGAGAAGCACGGAGGCCCCGCCTCCAAACCTAGAGCTCGCTTTGCTCAAGTCACCTCGCCCGAGAACGTGGTGGCATGCTCCAACCCCACTCTGCCTTTAAGAAGGGTGCGCCTGAGTTAGCTGTTCGTGTGCTAGCTGACTGTGGACCTCAATTTCCCCATCTCTAAATGGGGGCCCCCAGGCTCCCCGTCTTCCTGACGGCCAGGCAGGAGGCCCCACTTCCTCGAGCCACAACCAAAATGCACAGAGCTCGTCCCAGACGAGTGTGGCAGCAGCCAGGACAGGACGGGTGGCACCACGGGGGGGGGGGACCGCCCCCAGGCCCCGAGCGCACAGTGGGGCTGGGCAGCGGCTCTGGGCAGTGGCTGCGGCTCTGCTTCCTCCCCAGTTCCGAAGGCTCTAACCAGTGAGGGGCGCCCGCTCCGGCACACGTCCCCAATTACGCTCAACTGCAGCTGACTTTAATCAGCCTCCTCGAAGCACCGCCGACGTGAAGATGCCTCTCCAGAGGGAGCGGTGTTTGCATAAAGAGCCTGAAGCCGCACGCTGACAAACACAGCCAGGCTGTGCTGGGGGCTAATGCGCCCCTGCCACCCCACAGGGGCCTGCGGCTGGGCCACCCAGAAGGCGACCCACCTGGAGGGCATCCCGTGCCCTCCTGCTGCTTCCGAGGGGCAGAGGTGAAGGAGGTGTGGTCTTCACCCTTCTGTTCCCCTGTAACGCCCACAGGGCTCAGATGGCAAAACCCCGACCTGCCTGAGAACTCCTGGCCAACGAGCAGGGACGGTTCCAGCCGAGGTCTCTGCCTCACATGCTCGGCCCTCCAGAGCACGTGGTTTCCACGAGCCCAGGTTTGCCTGAGAACTCCTGGCCAACGAGCAGGCCCGGGTTCCAGCCGAGGTCTCTGCCTCACATGCTGGGCCCTCCAGAGCACGTGGTTTCCACGAGCCCAGGTCACCTGCAGACCCATTGTGACGTTGCCTGGACCAGCTCCTTGGGCCAGACAGTTCTTCCTTGTCCATCTGCCATGGCCAAACAGGGCGGATGTCTCCTTGAGTCCTGGCCTCTGTCCCTGCCTTCCTGCGGGGTGCGGGCACTGGTGGGCACCCCCGTTCCTGGTAGAGCCCACAGCTTCCTGCACCCTCAGGGGGCCTGTGCAGACAGGCCTGCCTCGCATGCTGGTGAGCGGACGGGAGGGGCAGAACTCTGCCTGCCCCGCATCGGGGTCACGTGGCAGCTGTCGCTCTGACGGGGTGACCAGGGGTGACCAGCACCACCTGCAACAGTCAGCTCAGCCTCTAGGCGTGACGCTCTGTGTGTCCTGAGCATCACCCGACGGCCAGTCAGGGGCAGGTGTCCTGGGAAGGTGTGGGCAGTGCCGGGGGTGGAGGTGGCGAGCAGAGCAGTGGTCCCCGGAGCTGAGGCTGCAACTGGAAGCAGCCGCTGGCTGTGAGGGACACAGCCCCGAGGCTGTCGGGAAGCGGGCGTGGGGCAAGGTGGGGCGCGGCGGGCACGGGCTCACGGGCGGGCGACAGCACTGGGCTCAAGGCTGGCCAGATCCCTGTGTGGGGCGCCTCGGCCGCATGTAAGGAATCTGGGTGGCAGTCTCCTTAGGGAGGTGGGGTGCCGGGGTGCCAGGAGCAGCCTCAGAGGAGACGCAGTGAGTGAGTGTGGGCCCTGGAGCTCGGCGATGTGTCCCACAGAGGCTCACCACTTGGCCACTGAGGACGAGCGAGGATCGGGGACTGGGCCACTGAGGACGAGCGAGGGTCGGGGACTGGGGCCGCCCCGCCCTCACACCGACCTTCCTGCAGCGAGCCCCAGAGGGCCTTCTCAGACCCCAGTTGAGGCCGGAAACGGAGAAGGGGCTTGGCCTGGGACAGGGGGTCAGGATCTGCCCGGTGCACTGCCTCAGGGTCTGGGGGACGGTAGAGCTGCCAGGACGAGCACTTGGTCCCAGCTCTAAGCAGGTGGAGGGGACCGGAACAGCTGTGAGTGCCGGGTGCTCGGGCCGCCTGGGGTGCCACCCCTCCCCCGGCCTGGCTCTTGGGCACCCACCTGTGGAAGCGGGGGCGGCGGCTGGGGGTCACCACGGAGCCCCGCCCACCCCGCTCCTCTGGACTCGGCGGCCATCCCCGCCCTGGGGCCGCGGCGCACACCCTTGAGCTCAGCAGCCTCAGCTCCCTGGGCTGTCGGGGCCCAGGCCCCGCACGCTGTGCTGGTGGTGGCACCTGCACAGACACGTGCAGCTGCATGTGAACTCGGTGCTCACGTGCCGTCGGCCAGTCCCCGACTCCGCTTCCAGAGCCTCAGGGGGGCTTGGGCGCTGGGCCACACCAGGGCAACCTGTGCCCTCTGTGTGCTGACACAGGTGCCACCGGCCCCCTTGGCCAGGTGCAGCTCCAGGATGTGGAGCAAGGCCCCGCCCACTGGGGCCTGGGGAAGGTCTGAGGAGGGACAAGTCGGCACCGCTAGCCGCTTGTGGAGCGTGGACAGGACGAGGCCCGGCCCGCCCTCATTTCCTCCAACGGGACGCTTGAGACGGGGCACCCAACCGACCCCTGGCTCCCCAGGGCCGGTACTGGAGGCGAGTGGCCGTCAGCTCAGGGCTCAGCCGCACCTCTCACCGCACGTGACCCTCGACGAGCTCACCAAGAGCCACGCAGGCTCCTCCTGCAAGGCCCCCAAGCCCAGGTGCAAGGGAGAAAGAGCGACGTCAGCTGGACCCACGCCGCCCGGCCACTGGGAGGCTGGGAAGCTGTCAGCGCCACCCCAGGCTGTGTTCGGTCAAAGAGCCGGAAAGACATCAGCAGCCCTTGTGACACGCACCGCGGGCGGGCGGGCGGGCAGCGGGGATCCACCTGCCGACAGCCCAGCTTTCCCGTCTGAGGGCTGTGGCCCAATTAAATGCTAAGAGATGACAGGTCCTGGAGCGGAGCACAGTCCAGCCGCGACTCACCGCACCTCGCTTTGTCAAAGTTGTCACTTCTACCATCTCCGGGAATTGGTAATAAAAACGAGATTTGATTTACCTCTAATAGGTGTCAAGATAAAATCAATGGCCTGTCCAAAGTCTGGGCGACCGCAAAGCTGTGGGTTTTCTGCCACGGACTAATTTGGACAGGGGGATAAAATTGAAAAACAAAGTAAAATTGAGGCAGTGTAAACAGCAGCCCCACTTCACGGATGCAGGGAGAGGGGACGAACGTGGACACGGACCCCAGGCATGCTGAGAAGGGCCCCCGTGGGGCGTCTGCACCCGCAGGAGCACGCCTGCCAGCCGCGGCGTTGCAGAGACACGGCCTGCGGGCTCCGGGGCTGTGGCAGACAAGGGCACAGCAGTGGGACAGAGGGGACGGCGGGCAGGCTCAGCGCAGCCCGAGGGCTCGGGGAGCGTGTGCGGGAGGAGGCCCCGTTCAGTCTGTGGGGGCGAGGGCAGCAGAGATGGGGGGTGGGGCCGGTGTCTGCCCCCAGCACTCACCACCAGGCTGAGCTGCTGCAGCTGCGTCTCCAGCTGCTGCTTATCTTCCTCCAGGCGACACCGCTCCCCCTCCAGCTCCTCAATCTTCAGCCTGCAAGGAGAGCAAGGCTGTGACAGGGCCCCCCGCGGCCCTGGCTGGGGAAGCCCCGCCCTGGGGTCAAGGAAGGGGAGGGTCACAGGCACCGTTCTGCTCCCACGTGCACACGCGTGGAGCCACGACGTGCGGAGTGACACTGAGAAAAGGCTGTGAAACCCCGGGCACGGGACAGCAGGGTGCAGCCGAGGGCGCCCGCGGGGTGGGGGTGGGGGTGGGGGTGTCCTCGCCGACGACGGCGGGGAGCAGGCACACAGGAAGACCACTCAGGGTGCAGCCGCGCGTGGCAGAGGACGCTGAGGCCTGAGAGAACGGCCCGAGGAAAGTCCCCCGAACGATGAGGGGACGGGGAGAGGCCTCGCTGTGGCTGTGGGCACGGCTGACCACGGGAGGAAGGCCAGGACCGGGGCAGGCGCGGGCTCTGCTCAAGTCCCCGCTGCGGGCCCAGCGGCAGTGCACGGCAAGGAAGCGCCTACCCAGGGTCACAGGGGCGGGGCCAGCAGCAAGGCTCTGACACGGCCCGGAGAGCAAACAGCCAGGGCCACTGGAGGTCTGGCTAGAAAAGCGGCACGTGGCCCAGCATGCCACGTGTCCAGCCTGGTCGCCCTCTGGCCCCAGAGATATGTCCTGCCCTGCTGGGCGCCCGGGGAGGCACCAGTGACCGAGCAGCACACAGCGACGGCCAGTGCACCGGGCCCGTAAGGCGCCAGCGGTGAGGAAACGTTGGTTTTCCGGCGCGTGTGTGTGTGTTTGGGGGGGCGGGGGGCCCTGCTCTGTTTCTGCAGTTTTCCTACAAACCAAACAATCCCGGAACGAACAGCTGGCAGGAGAAAACGGAAGTCGGGAAGGGAGGAAACCGGCCGGAGCGGTTGTGTGAACACGGGACAGTCGCCTGCAGAGCAGATGGTCTGAGAACTGCCGCGACGAAAGGGGACGCAGCGCCCCAGGGCAGAAGCTCCGTGCGCCAAGAAGACGCACTGACCCCATCTGTGCGCGTCCCGAAGCAGAGCTTCGAAACACGCGAAGCGCAGAGTGACAGAACCGGAAGGAGAAAGAGACAAACCCACAAGTGTAGCTGGAGACTCCGGACGCTTTCCCGGTGACAAGGAGAAGCGGCAGACGGCAGCCCAGCGAGGGCACAGGGGCCGCAACCCCGCCCCACACCGGGGTGCAGGCCGACTTTTCAGGGCCCACCGCCAGCCACCCCGGACTGCCTCGCAGGCAAAGGGGGCCTGTCTCTCAGACGGATCACAGGCCCTGGAGGTCAACAGCCTGTAACAAGCTTAAAAACTGAAATTTTACAAAGTGCATTTACAGACCGTAACGGAATTAAAATAGGCATCAGTAACAGAGGAAAATCTCCAAGCGTTTGGAGATGTAACAAGGCACATCAAGATAATACCTTATTTAAAGAAGACCTATGAAATTAGAAAGTCTTTTTAAATGGACAAAAATGAGACTACGACATGTCAAAATCTGTGGGCTGCAGGTGAAGTCGTGCTTAGAGAAAATGTTGTAGTCTTAAACACCTCTTAGAAAAAAGAAAGACCTCAAATCAATAACCTAAGCTTCCACCTTAAGAAACTAGAAAAAAAGGGAAAAATATACCCAAAGCAAGCAGAAAGAAGGATAAAACAAAAGCAGAAATCGATGAAAATGAAAACAGAAAAACAAGGAGAAAACAGAAGAAACCAAACACTGGTTTTCTGAAGAGACCAATTAAATTGTAAACCTCCGGCAAGACAGGCAAAGCAAAGACGCCGCCGACGCCAAGCGTCAGCACCAGAAACGAGAGGCTTCCACCGCGGAGCCGGCCCCAGGACAAACGCGCCAACGACGCCACGTCCGTCAGCCCGACACCGATACGCGACGCGGCAGCTCCGCAAAGCCCGCAGGCTGCCCAGACCCACCGAGGCAACACCTCGGGATTGATGACGAAGGTAGACTGTTAGGTAAAACCTCTCACAACAGAAATGCCCGGGCCTAGATGGTTTTATTGGGTGCAAACATTTAAAGAAATACTGCCATTTCTACACAATCTCTCCCAGAAAAGGGAAGAGACAGGAGCACTCCCAACTCGTGTCATGAGGCCACATCATGCTGACGCAAAAGCGGATGAGGACAGCACGACAGAAAACTCAGACCAACGTCCCTCGTGAAGAGACACGAAATCATCGACAAGACGTTAGCATGTCGGAGCCAGTAACATATAAAAAGAACAATACGTGACAACCAAGGAGGGTTTATCTCAGGATGTCAGACTAGTTCGGTACTGAAATATAAATCAACGTCATCCACCATGCTGGAAATCTAAAGACGAAAAACCACGTGCTCCTATCAGTCAATTAAAAAAAAAAGAGAAAGGATTTGACAAAATTCAGCATCCGTTCATGAAAAATCACAAGTAGAAGAAAAATCAAGCCTAGAAGAGCACATCCCGAAAGGACCCCGACGACAAACCGGCCGCAGACGAACTTCTCAGAGACGACGGAGCGCCCCCTGGAGCCAGAGCCGGAGCAGCGCAGAGGTGCCGGCCGTCACCCTACTTCGCCGCCCTGCAGGTCCCCACCACACGAAACCCCAGGAATCGAGACCAACGGCACGTCACTCGGAGAACAAGACTGAAGACGGACAAGTTTCCAGACACCAGAGTGTCTGTGCGGGGAATGCCAAGGAATCGACCAAAAACAGAGATGAAAAATCCCAAACAGAACTAAGGAAATTTAGGACGACTGCAAAATAAAGATGAACAACTAAAAAATCAATCACGTATACAACAACGATGCATAACAATAAACCAAAATAAAACAAAATTCATAAGTAACATGGAAAGACACACACAGGCACAGATCTGAGAAAGTGGGCAGAACCTGCGCGCTGAAAGTACGGACTGCGGACGAGAGAAACAGACCTGACGAGGGGCGGGGACGACTGCGTCCGCGGGACGGAGGGGACGACCACGTCCGCGGGACGGAGGGCCCGCACGTCCAGACGGGCAGTGCTTCCCGAGCCGACGTGAAGATGGGACACAGCACCGATCCAAATCCCAGCAGGACTCTTCCTGTAGCTACACACTGATTCTGATGTTTATGCGGAAAATCAAAAGAACCAGAACAGTTAAAACGACTTTGAAAAACACGAATAAAATTGGAGGAGTCGCGCTACCGGCTTCCGAAGCTTACGGCCAGGCTGCGGAGCGGGGACGAGCCCCCACGCAGCAGGACGGGGCCTCCGGGGGACGGGGACGGGGAGCAGGCCCGACCGACAGCGCGACGAGGGACAGCGTCTCCCACGCACCGCCAGAGCGGCTGCACGCCTTTCGGCAAAAAAACAAGGTAAAACAAACCTTGACCTAAACCTCACAGCTTACACATATTTCACCGGAACCTGGATCAGACACTCAAATGCAAAACACGAAAACATAAAAGTTTCAGGAAAAAAAACACAGGAAAAAATCTTTGACTCTTTAGGGCTAGGCGAGTTCTCAGATCCAACATCCAAAAGAAGAAGTTCCACAGAAGGAAACATTGATAAATCAGACTTAATCAAAATTAAAAACCTTTGCTGTGTTGAAGATATTGGTGAGAATTTAAAAAGTGCAGACTACGAGAAAATATTTGCAAATCACACCTGACAAACATATATCCAAAGTACATAAAGAACATGCAGAATTCAAAAGTAAAAAAAAAAACAAAAAAACACAAACCAAAAAAACCTGGGTAAAACATCTGCACAGCCGCTCCACCAAAGACTCGGTGGACAGTGCCGAGCAGCGAGCAGGTGCGGCCACCAGCAGCTGCGGGGAGCTCGGGGGCGGTGCGGGGGCCGCATGGACCAGCGCACCGGGCACATCGGGACTCGGAGGACCCGGCCCTCAGGCACCTCTCATGGGGACGCTGCCAGCCACCACGTAGGGTTGAACGCGCTCGATGCGGCACCCAGTGACCACCGCGGGCACCGCCCTAGAGCACGAGCCCCGATGCCCGCAGTCCCCACACAGACGCTGACAGCAGCGCCACCCGCCACGCCAACCGGACACGCCACAGCGCCCCCCGAAGGAGCAGGGCTGCTGCGAGCACACAGGTGACGCTCGCTGCGGGCGCTGCCCAGCAGGCCCCTCCCCCCGGCGCGTCCTCTCCCCCTGGGGCGCCACCATCACGTCAGGTGTCACCGTCCGATGCAGCTCCAGTTTTCGGCCAGTGAGTCGATTCAGGGAGAGTGTGAGGCTGGCCTCCTACACTCGCTGTGTCACCCCTTCCATGCCTGTCCCTTTGGGACGCCCGAGCCTCCCCCTGCGCACACGGCCCTTCCATCTGGAAGGCGTCCCCAGCGCGCTCAGGGTAGGGTGCTCGTGGCACGTGCTTAGTTCGGCTTCCTTGGTCTGGGGCGGAGCAGCCTCCCCTCCCCTCGTCCCGACGGGATTTGTGCCGCCTGACAGCTCCCTTCTCTCGGAACTCGAAACACGCCGTGCGCTCCCTGCCGGCTCCCGCGGCTCCAGATGAGAAATTCGCGTCACTCAAACTGATGTTCTCTGGAGATAAAACAGCGTTTCTCTCCAGCACCTTCGAAATTTTTTCTGTCTGCAGTTTCCAGGGGGATGTGTAGTGCCACGCGCCGCAGACGTCTGGGGCTCCCTCGGGGTGGCCTGCTTGGGTCCCTACGCCCCAGGCTCTTGCCAGGCGCACCTGGGGAGCGCTCAGCCGTTACGTCTTCCCAGGTCTCCCAGCCCCAATCCTCCCCTCCAGGGACCGCAATGGAAAGGACACTGTGCCTTCTGCTCCCGCTGTTCCGACAACCTGTGTCCAGGTCACAGCCCTGACTCTCGTCGCCGAGCTACGGCGGAGCCTGTGCACTGAGTCTCCGCTTTGGCTACTGCTCAAGCCTGTAAGTTCTGTTTGGTTCTTTGTTAAAAAAAGTGACTTGTTTCTTTGCTCAGGTCACCAAGTTTTCGCTTCTTCACTGAGGATTCGTGACCATTTGCTGAAGCCCACTTTACAGTCCTTGCCAGGCATCCAGCACCGGGTCACCGTGATGCTGCTGTCCAACAGCCGTCCCCTCGTCTCCAGTCCTGACTGTCTAGTTCTGGGCGTGGCAGTGATTTTTACCGTGTCCCAGACACGCTGAGCCTCCGCCTGTGAGACCTGCATCCTGTTTAACCTCCTGGCAGGTGGTCACCCTGCTCATGGGAGTCCTGCGCCCTGGGCCCTGCTGCCAGGGGGGCCCCTGAATACTGTGGGGTGCAAGCTGGGGTCCCCCGCTGGTCCCTTGGCACCAGGGACAGGGACACAAGGGCCACCTCGCTGCTGCAGGGGTGAGCGGGAGCTTTCTGCTGAGCCTCTGACCCTGGGCCACCAGCCCCTCCCGCCCACCGGCCCCGTTGCGCAGGGGTTCAGAGCAGGGCCGGCCCCCGTTCAGCCCCGAGGACGTGCGCCCAGTGCGGGCACTGTCTGCTCTGAAGGATGGGGGGACAGGGCGCCCCCACTGACCTGCCTGATGCCACGGGGCAGGGACTAAGTGCTGCTGCCTGGGGACAGGTTTCCCCTGGGGATTTGGCTGATGTGGGCCATTTCCATGGTGATGCTGAGTCCCCCAGTCCTGTCCCCTCAGCCCCAGAGGCCGACGGCATCCACACTATGCAGACAGGCGTCTCCCAAAGATGACCAGGACCCCAGTCCTGAGGGCCGTGTCCAGCCGTAGTGAGGCCACAGCACGAAGTCCACCCACGGCCCCTCCGAGGAGCTCTTGGCCCCCGCAGCACGGGGCTACCGTATGCTGAGTGTCCAGCACGGCGGCCCGCCATCTGAGCCAGGCGGACAGGAAACAGCGACCCAGAGGAACAGACTACGTGGAGAAGGGACCTCACACGGTCCCGTTACGACATCGGAGAGGTGGCGAGTGTCTGTGCTCACGAGACATCACCAGTGCGTTTTGCATAAAAGAACGTTCAGACCTCGACAAAACGAGAAAAAGTCCCTCAGGAAACTAAAATATGAGAACAAAAAGAAAATGAGGTTGATATTTGAAAAAACTTTACAAAAAAACAGAAAAAGCTGGAAAATGGGATAAACATCTTTTCAAAGTAGAGAACTAGTTCAGGAAGCCCAACATTCAAATGATAGTTTCAGAAAGAGAAAATGGGAGAAAAAACAATCGATGAATGATTCAGCAGAAACCCCAGGAACTGAAGGGTGAGGCAGCGGACTGGAAGGCCACCGACCGCCCGGCAAAGCCCCTGACAGCGGGCCCGCGCCGAAGCACGGCCCTGGGCACGGCGGCGAGCCCAGGGCACGGGGCAGGCCCCTCAGGCCTCAGAGGGGAGAGCAGGCGTGGGCAGGGCCCGGTCTGCGGAGTGTGGCGGCCCCTGTCCCCCACCGCAGAGTCAGTGCGGCTGAGACGCATGACTCAGCGGCCCAGCCCTGGCCCTGCCGTGACGAGCGGCCGGGCAGTGGGTGGGCAAAAGGGACTCTGGATGCCAGGGCATCGCTCACGGTGGTGTCTGCAGGCCATGCGGAGGTGGCCTGCTGACCACGGGCCTCCCTGACGGAGCAGCTGGTGGGGGGAGTGTGGGGTCGAGATGGCTCCTGAAGGCTGGTCCTGGTCTCCCCATCAGACCTGAGACCCTGGTGGGGGCCGCGGCTCGGGACTAGGGCCGCCGGACGACACCCTTGGCCCGCGAGCAGCACAGCGTGTGCTGCCTCATCCTGGCTACCTCTCAAATGGGAGCACTTAGGCTGGGGCGTCCGGGTCACCCCTCTGCGCGGCGGGGTCTTCGGCCCGCTGGGGCCTGCCCTGAACCCCCCAAACCAGTGGGGCTGCCTCCCATAGCCCATGCGCCACCCTCGACACACAACACGTACGCTCTAGCTCAAGAGCATTGGCTCGCAGTGACTGTCACCACCGGGTGACAAAGAGAACCCAAGGTACGATGACACGGCTCCTGAACATTTACTTGCAGGGTGCTGGGGTGGAGGACCCCAAACGTGCACAAGGAGGGGCACGCAGTGACCAGGTTTCCTGAAGGGGGTGCCGGGAGCACCAGGGCAGCTGCCGGCTCTGTAGACACGACACACATGAGCAAGCACTGGGTGCAGGGCCGAACTGCTGCCCAGGCCACCGTGCTGTCCCCAAGGAGCTTGACGGCCCCGTGGGCCTTGTTTTCCACCCACTCAGCTGGTCCAGACAGAATCCACCCAAAAAGGCCCAGGGCTTCTGTCGTGTGCTCGGGGCCCTTCCCAGAACCCTCCTGACAGGTACGTCACCCCGATACCCTGTCCTTGCCCTCCACTGGGCTGAGGGGAACCCCAGGTGGGGCAGCGGCTGGCAGGGCAGGAAGGGAGCAGGCTGGTGCAGGTGAGACCCAGCTCCCGCCCCACGACAGCTTCTCCTGACAAAGCGTTTACACAAACACTGGCCTGAGATCTCGACGCAAAGCCTTTGCTTCAGACCTTCCCAGAGAAAACGACTGTGCCCAGCGTGCGCCAGCCGCAGAAACGGGCACAGGCCTGGCCACACGCGCACCGGCACAGTCGAGACTGGGCGGCGGGGGCTCTGGGGGCCCAGGGACAGTGGACCCGGGGCGTCTGCAGGCCACAGCGGAAGGGTGCCAGCCACAGCTGCCACCTGGGACGCTGAAGGCTCAGGTGGAGCCTCATCACCGTTCTCCGTCCACCACTGACAACCGCAGCTCCAGCGACAAAAGACAAAAGTCCAAGCATCCAAGAGGACACTCAAAGCCCTGGGGGGTCTGGGTGCCGACCACGGCAGCCCCGTCCCCCGTACTGCACGCTGCTCCGTGGAAGCGAGTCTGCAGGCCCGGCCCTGGCCTGGCCTTCGGGCCCCGCTCTGCTCTGCCACGAACGCTGCCTCCTCCCGATCCCTCCAGCCCACCTCTGACGGCAGGGCGGTCTTCGTCACCGGACGGGGCTGCTCCCGGAAGCCGGGTGCAGGAGGGGTATTTCGCCCATCTCTGCATGGGGACGGCCACCTGCTGCTTGAAAGGGACGTTCCCACGGCAAACGCTCACGGCACGAGGCGTGAGACGCGGCCCGCCCTCACCAAGGCTCCGCTCCGTCTGTCTCTGTGACCCGGGCAGCCAGGGACTGCAAAGCTCCCCGTGCGACCCTGTCACTCCTGCACTTTGACACTGGGACGGCTTCCCGCTGCTCTTGCGGACAAGGCCACAGCCCTTGCCCGCTCTCAGCCGCCTGCCCACGAGCACCCTGCTGCACCAATCCTGCGGGCCCAGAGCCTTTCCTCCCACAACAGGCACTCGCAGGCCCCTGCCCACCCTCCGCCTGCGAGAGCAGGTCCCATGGACGCCCGTGCCAGCGGCACGTCTGCCACGGCCTGTCCTCGCACGGGCACGGCTGGGGACACACCCTCTAGGCCCCCTCAGGACCATCTCACCCCCACGTGCAGCCGAGGACGCACGCGGCGTACGCGTGGCCTCCGGATGTGAACGACTGATGTGAACGACTGCACGCTTGAGGAGCACGCGAGCGACGTCGGCCCCCGGCGGGTCTCCGAGGACGCCCTGGCCCAGGCCCACGCTCGAAAAATGCCTGGGAACCGGTGGTGAGCGCCGAGTCCAGGTGTAACCCCACCCACGGGGCAGCCACCCTGGGCCTGGACACACACAGACGACCGCAAAGGGGGCTGCCCACGTCCGTGACAAGAAGAGCCTCAGGAGAGGGTGTGACACAGCTAGGGCCATTCAGCCACGTGGCGAGCCAGGATGCCCGAGGTGGGCTGGGCCCAGGCTGCGGCCACCCATCCCGGACCCCACG